ACATAGGCCAACGGATTAGTAAGCTGAAGTGGCAGTGGGCCGGCCATATAGCTCGAAGAACCGCCAACCGATGGGGAAAAAAGGTTCTCGAGTGGCGGCCTCGTACCGGTGGACGAAGTGTAGGGCGTCCCCCCACTAGGTGGAGTGACGAGTGGTAAGACATGTAGGAAGTCGATGGATGCAGGTGCCTGAGGAACGTGCTTTGTGGCATTCCTTGGGGGAGTTATATGTTCAGCAGTGGACTTGTGAAGGGCTGTAATGATGATGATGATGATGATGATGAAGCAAGTGGTAGTACCCAGCCTCCGTCTATATTGAAATTAGGATGTTTTATAATTTCAATAGCGTCACGTATCTCCTTGGCAGGAATCGATGTCCTTTCACGAGAATTTGTGGTTTATCAAATCTAATGTAATGGTAGGGGCCGTCTAGGATATGATCAAAAACTGCAGACTTTTTAAAAGAACACATACCTGAGGTGCAACACCAGCGTTCCGAGAACAAATACAAATAAATAAATTACTATCGTCCATTAAAATGAAGCGTCATTTAAAATAATATTTCTTTCATGGCAAGATAAGAAAAAGTGCGAGGGAAATGGATATTATTCCATCTTGCCCACACCTATACAAAGGGAGTCGTGACGGAAAAATCTTACACCTTTTCTCGCCTGGCACCATCCGCCAAAATTGGGCCGTGCTATAAGGAACTTCGTTCCAAAGACAACATATAATGTAAGAAGACAGGAATAATAAGTTAATTATTACGTCACCCACGGATGAAGTAGGGATATTCTAACACCGGCTCTACATGGATTATTCTGGTTCTTTATATCCTTCAGACGAGGACACAGCAGTGCAAGCACGACTATTCAATGGCAGAAATAGGTAATAGGATTTCGCTTATCCAGACGGATTTTTAAATTGAAGAGACCTACTTCTAGGTCTCCCTAAATGAAAAGACATGAAATGAATCTATGCACTGTTTATATTACGGATCGCCGTAATGCCGTGCGAAAAATGGAATAAAACGCGCTGGTCTTGCTTTTAACTGGAGGCAAGCGGCGGTGAGGAGGAACTTGTACTTTTTCTTTTCTTGCTGGTGCCTTTTCGGTGGCTGGAGAGCGACTGCTGACCCTAGCGGCCGGCCCGTCTTTTATATGATTTGGCCGCTGCTGGCCAGCGGACCCTTGCCTCACCCCCGCGCCTATCTTTATTTATTTAATAACCTTACAAACTAATAAACATAATTCACTATATAATATTCTTATAACTACTTTTTAAACTAGGGTGTATATATCAATATTTTTACTTATTTACAGGTTTACATTATAATTTTCAGCTGCTTTAGGCGGAGAATCCTTCCCCCCGCCTCAGCACTATAAATATAAAACGTCGTGGCGCGGTGCGCGTGGCTTCATTTGCTCCGCGGCCGCGTCACGATAACATGCTCTTTGGTTACACTACTACTATTGTATATATGTGCCTAACGGCCTAATATATTTATTATATAATAAAGTAAACATTTATTATATTTAACAATTATAGTTTTCATTAGAAGACTATGCTAACTCTCCCTGTTCATACGGTGCCTTTATTTGGGAGAGTTATTGCACAGTTACAACTCAACCTTAAACTTAGTTATAATACAATCATTATTTTTTATCGTTCGATACAAGTAATACAATTATTTACACAAATTATAATTTAAATTCAACATAAGGTTGCGCTAGTTCCGCCGTATAACCCTTGCTAGTTGTCGAACCAGAGGCGTGGCCTGATAATTACACCGTCGTCATGGCTCCGCCCACCGCTCCTAGGTTGTTCAACTAGCGCCGGTTACAATAAGCATTTTCTTTCGTTTGTTTAATATTGTTGCGTCGTGCACATTCTCCCGCCGTCGCCACGCTGCGATCCCTCTGGTAGCACGACGATCTTCTTCGTTGGTCTTCTTAGTATGTGCCCACTGCCGGTGGTTACGTCCACTACTCGTACCTCTCCTTCGACGCCAGGATATACCTTACTTATTTTCCCTCTGGGCCAGGTGTTGCGTGGTAGATTGGAGTCACAAATGATGACTAGGTCTCCAATCTACGGCGATACTCCTATGCTGCTGGGCTCCCGCCGGTGTTGGAGTAGGGGCAGGTATTCTTTAACCCATCTTCTCCAAAACACGTCGGCTAGGGCTTGAGCTCGTTTCCATTGCTGGCGGGCCGTCACGTCATTCTTGCTGAAGTGTCCCGGCGCAGGTACGTGCGAGTTGAGACCGATGAGGATGTGATTCGGCGTGATGGCTTCAGGGTCTCCTGGGTCGACTGAGACGTGTGTGAGAGGTCTGGAGTTTACAGTATTTTCGACCTCGGAGAGCAGGGTCCCCAATGTTTCGTCGCTGGGATAGCGCTCGTTGAGGGTGACGCGTAGGGCTTCTTTTACGGAGCGAACCATTCGCTCCCATACGCCACCCATGAACGGTGCTGATGGCGGTATGTACTTCCACACAATCTGTTGACACGTGGTTTCGTGCTCGAGGGCTGCGAGTGCTGCTTCGGCCATCTCCTTGTCTGCTGCCTTGAAGCACGTAGCGTTGTCACTCCATATTTCTTTTGGGCATCCTCTTCTGCTCATAAAACGCCTAAGTGCCGACACGGCTGAGTCTGCGCTCAACGAGTGGGCTACTTCTATGTGTATTGCTCGCGACGTCATGCAGGTAAATAACGCGCCATAGCGCTTTTCGCGATGTCGTCCCACTGTGACTTCTATTGGCCCGAAGTAGTCTAGTCCGGTGTATGTGAACGGACGTGCGTGATGAGCGAGGCGTGCGGACGGCAGGTTTCCTGTAGACGGTGATGCAGGCTTGGCTTTTCTTAGACGGCACGGCAGGCATCCTTTGACGACAGTTTTCACTACTGGACGTATTTTTCTTACGTACAATCTCTGTCTTAATTCATTCACAACTGTTTCCACGCCTCCGTGATGCAGCCTCTCGTGTACGTGTGCTATGTACAGGCGAGTGTATGCGTGCTTCCCGTCTAATATGGGAGGGTCGTACATGTCGTCCTCCACTTCTGATGCCGCTTTTATTCGACCTCTGAGGCGTAGGGTCCCCTCTTCATCAATGTATGTGCTCAGGTGGCCTAGTTTGTCGTCGCCTCCCGGAACACTTCCGCTGGTGATTCTCTTGAGCTCCTTCGTGAAGCTTTCCCGCTGACTGGCTTGCACCCACAGTTGTTCGGCTCTCATATGATAAGCGGCCGGTATTCCTACAAGCGATGAGGCAGTAGGAGTCGCCTTTTTCTCCTTGGCGGGGGTGTTGCGTTTGTTTGTTCTCTGCCAGCCAGGGTCGCTACCTTGTCTTGCTTTGTTGCGTTTACGCCCAGCCTTCACTACGTGCTTGTTTGGTCTGCACATGTCGATGAATAGGAGGACTCTCGCTGTCGCCCTTATGAGGCGAATCCATTTAGAAAATCTTCCTATCTGTGGAAGATGTGTTGTTGTCGAGTCTTCACTTTTAACAGCGATGTTACATATTTCTCGCTCTTCCCCGGTGTCATATTGTGTCGTTTTCTCTTCCTGCGGCCATTCTGCCGGTGGACGCTGCAGAAACGGGGGCCCTCGGAACCATCGGTGCGACTCGTCGAACCCTTCTGGTGTGGCTCGGGTTGCGTCGTCTGCCACGTTTTCTTTAGACGGTAGCCAACGCCATTCGTTCTTTTTGGTCGTATCTTCTATCTCCGCCAGGCGATGAGCGACGAAAGCTTTGTACGCGCGAGGCTCCGATCTTATCCACACCAGTGCAGTACGGGAGTCGCACCAGTATGTCTTGCCTGCTATGTCGCCATCGTGTTCATCGATCACGGTCTGCGCAAGACGAGCTCCCAGCAGTGCCGCTTGTAACTCGAGCCGTGGTATGGAAACTGGTTTCAGTGGTGTTACGCGGCTCTTGGCGGCGGCCAATGATATGTTAACGCTGCCGTCTGCTCGCTCCGTTCTCCAATACACTGCTGCTGCGTAGGCCTCCTCGCTTGCGTCGACGAATGTGTGTAGTTGGCGCGTCGACACCGGGTTGTAATCGTAGCATCGCGGTATTCTTAGTTGTTCTATGGCGTTAAATGAAGTAATCCAGCCTTCCCATTTTTCTTTTAATTCTGTTGGCAGAGGGTCGTCCCAGTCCGCCTTGTAACGCCATGTGTCTTGAAATATTCTCTTCGCTGGGGTGGTCACCGGTGATATTAACCCCAGCGGATCAAATAATGCCATTATGACGCTCAACGCTTCTCGTTTAGTTGGCAAGCGTTGTTTTTCTTTTACGTCGGCAGGCATCTTCATATTGTTAGTATTGAATCCAATATGATCGCTTTGTACATGCCAGAGCAGCCCTAGCGTCTTCTCAGTTTCTTTTCCGCCCAGGCACACGGTCGCGTCGTGTTGTCTATGCTCTGTCGTTATTTCTTCTATTGTTTTTTCTTCGTTCGATGTCCACCCGCTGAGTACGAATCCCGCTTGTTTGTGGACGTGATCGACTGCTTTTACTGTTTGCTGAGCTTCCGTGACAGAGTGGAAGCTCTGCAAGTAGTCGTCCATATAATGGTTTCTTTTTATGGCGACCGCAGCTTCTGGGTACGCTTCTGCATGTTCTTCAGCATTTTTATTTTTGATGTATAATGCTGTGCATGGTGATGATGTCGCTCCAAAGATGATTGACGTCATCCTATATTCCTCCGGTTGGTCCTCCCGCCGCTTGCCTCTCCACAAGAAACGTAAAACGTCTCTATCTTCTTTGCGCACTTTAATCTGCATGAACATTTCTTTTATATCGGCGCTCACTGCATACGGATACTGTCGGAACCTCATGATCACTCCGGGCAGTGATTGTAATAAGTCGGGCCCCGAGTGAAGCATATCGTTGAGACATATTCCGGCTGTCTTCGCTGCGGCGTCGTGTACCAATCTCGGCGGCTTGTTCGGTTTCGCAGGGTTGATGACTGGGAAGTGTGGCAGATACTATGTCCTTCCTTGCGGCGGTGGCATTGGCGCGCGCTCTGCGTAACCCGAGTTGAAGAGGTTCTCGATGCGTTCTTCGTACTGTAGCTTGAGATTGCTGTCTCGGTCGAGCCTCTTCTCTAAGGTGTGCAGGCGCCTTTCCGCTTCTTTATAATTATTTGGTATTTGGAAGTCCTTTTGTTTCCACAACAACCCTGTCTCGAATCTGCCGTCCGCTGACCTCTGGCTGGTTTCGTCCAATATTTGCATGGCTCGCTGCTCGGGATCTTCTTTCGGTCTTCTCGGCTCGATGCACAGCGACTCCAATTTGAAATAATTTTTTATTTCTTCTTCTATCGGTGGTGCATCTTCCCTCTGATGTAGTCTGCCGCAGAAGGTGACCGTCGACGTCAATGAGCTATGACAGCCATGCAGAACCCAGCCCAGGTTGGTGTATGAGGCGACTGGTTGGTCTCGACGGCCGACGCGCAGTTTTCTAGACACTATGAGGTGCCAGTTATCTTGCCCGATTAGTACTTTCGGTGAGGCGCGTTCGTAGGTGATATCCTCTTTGATATCCAACAGATGTGGGCAATTCCCCAAGTGATCTTCATTCACGGATTCTGGCGCGAAGTCCAACCGCTCTACAGTACGCGCTGCTTCTATGTTGTGTTCTTCTTGCGCGTACGTTCCTCTTATTTTAAAGCTGACGATCTTGCTCTTCTCGTGTTTCACCTCCGAGCCGACCCCTTGTATCCACATTGTGTGGGCTGGGCCGTCGGCGCCGATGACGTCGGCGATTGAGGCATCGACTAAGGTGACCGTGCTCCCTTCATCCAATAATGCGTATGTTTCGACGCAGCTTAGCGGCCCCCTTATTGTTACGGGCGCAATCTTTAGGTAAGCGCGGCGGTGCTTGTACGGTCGAGTCGCTGTGTTGACCTCCTTTGCCGATGTTGCGGTTTCCATAGCGGGTTCTTTTTCCATTACTGCTGTTCTGTCGTGATGCAACAATTTATGGTGTTTCATCATGCATCCGCCTTTTCCGCACGGTGGAGCTTTGCACAGTAATCGACGATGTTTGCCTCGCAGACAGCGGTAGCAGATATTGTACTTCTTTGCTACTTCCCATCTGTCATTTGTGGACAGAGCGGCGTATGACTTGCAATCGGGCAGTTTGTGTTCTTGTTTGCATTGAGGGCAGCGTTCTTCATATGGTTTCTTGCTTGTGGCGAAGGCACGTTCTATTTTTCTCGGTCTTCGCTCTCTCGTTTCGCTGTCCTCTGCGATGAACTCCGGCAAGGCATACGCGCTGCATTTATCCGCTTCTTCGTTTAAGAACATTGATATCTTCTTAAGCTCTGGGATATCTTCTTTCTTTCTGGCTGCATAGTCGTACCATTTGCTTTTCAATATGGGCGTGAGTTTGTCTGTGATAACTCGCGTCATTTCTGGACTATGCAGATAGTGTGCTTTCTTGAGTGCTTCCACGGTGCCCACTACGTTCGCTATGCGATTTGCGAATATGCATAGCTCCCTGGGATTGTCCGTAACTTTGTTCAGCAGCTTCAGCTTCTCTATTTCCAAGTGAATTAACGCTTCTGGTCGTCCGAATCTCCTTTCCAAAGCTTCTATTATAATTCTGGGATCTGGTTGGCTTATAAGTAGGCAACCTGCGGCTTCTTTTGCTGTCCCTTTTAAGCTTCGGCGTATTCTCGCTATGTTTTCGTTCGCCGTGAAGTACTTTGAAGATTCTTCGTACATTGTCTTGAAGCTGAGCCACTCCTTGCTGCTACCATTGAATGAGGGCAGCTCTTGTATATATTTCGGCGGCTCCCTTGTGCTTCGTACTGCTTGTGATAGAGCAGCGGCTAAGGTAGCGACGTCGATTTGCTGCTGCGCCTGTCCATAGTCTTCTTTCTGCGGCGCGGTATGTTGCGGAGCGTATTGCGGCGCACACTGTTGAAGTACGGGTGGTGCGATCTGCAGTGCTGGTTGCGGCGCGAAGTACGACGTGGGTTGCGGCGCGGGCTGCGGCGCGGGTTGTGGCGCGGGTTGTGGCGCGGGCTGAGGCGCGGGTTGCGATGTAGGTTTTTCTTGCAACCATGTACTAATGCGCACTGATGCCAAATCGTCTTCTATTTCTTCATCTTCATCGGTTGATCCGGCTTCTGCTTGTAGTCGCTGCACGTGTATTTCTTGCAATTCTGTTCTTGCTTGCAACTGAGCCTGCTCGAGCTTGAGTTCGGCTAACCGCTCTTTCGCCTCTAACTCCGCGAGGAGTCTCTTGCGTGAGGCTACGGAGCGGCGTGACCTAGTCTCGCCGGGCTTCAATGTGCACTGCGATCTTTGATCACCCTCTTGCTGGGTTTCTTCCGTTGCGGTTGTTCTATCGGTTGCCGAGGTAGCGGTCGTATCGCTGACCGTTGTGGTTTCGCTAGTGGTGTTTGTTGAACCACTAGCGGCTGAGTCGCCCCCGGAGGCCTCTTCTGTGGCCCCCTGGGTTGTTTGTTCATCCTTGCGACGCTTCGATGATTCTCCGTTGTTACTACGCGTAATCACCATTTTTCTTCACAATAATATTTTTTCGTTCTTGCGGTTTGTTTCTTTCTTCCGGCAATACCAAGACCGATATTGTCTTTTTCTTCTAGTAATCCGGCTTCTCGAAGGACCATTAATATTACGGATCGCCGTAATGCCGTGCGAAAAATGGAATAAAACGCGCTGGTCTTGCTTTTAACTGGAGGCAAGCGGCGGTGAGGAGGAACTTGTACTTTTTCTTTTCTTGCTGGTGCCTTTTCGGTGGCTGGAGAGCGACTGCTGACCCTAGCGGCCGGCCCGTCTTTTATATGATTTGGCCGCTGCTGGCCAGCGGACCCTTGCCTCACCCCCGCGCCTATCTTTATTTATTTAATAACCTTACAAACTAATAAACATAATTCACTATATAATATTCTTATAACTACTTTTTAAACTAGGGTGTATATATCAATATTTTTACTTATTTACAGGTTTACATTATAATTTTCAGCTGCTTTAGGCGGAGAATCCTTCCCCCCGCCTCAGCACTATAAATATAAAACGTCGTGGCGCGGTGCGCGTGGCTTCATTTGCTCCGCGGCCGCGTCACGATAACATGCTCTTTGGTTACACTACTACTGTTGTATATATGTGCCTAACGGCCTAATATATTTATTATATAATAAAGTAAACATTTATTATATTTAACAATTATAGTTTTCATTAGAAGACTATGCTAACTCTCCCTGTTCATACGGTGCCTTTATTTGGGAGAGTTATTGCACAGTTACAACTCAACCTTAAACTTAGTTATAATACAATCATTATTTTTTATCGTTCGATACAAGTAATACAATTATTTACACAAATTATAATTTAAATTCAACATAAGGTTGCGCTAGTTCCGCCGTATAACCCTTGCTAGTTGTCGAACCAGAGGCGTGGCCTGATAATTACACCGTCGTCATGGCTCCGCCCACCGCTCCTAGGTTGTTCAACTAGCGCCGGTTACAATAAGCATTTTCTTTCGTTTGTTTAATATTGTTGCGTCGTGCACAGTTTACATTACGTAAATTAAATGTCCAGTTTCATCAAAATCGGACAATTAGTTTCACAGGAGATAGCAACAAAATTGCATTGAAAATAATTCATGGATAAGAGAGCTACGCCCGCTTGGCTTATCTCAGCATATCCGCTCAACTTCTTTCATAAAATAACTAGAGGCATGAAAATTAATCTGTTCTCACGTATGTAATTATCGCTACGTAGATTACATGTGCTAAGTTTGGTCAAATCTAATTTCAGAAGAGATAGCAATAAAATGTTGTATCAGAGTCAGGGATAACTCTTATCCCTGACTACTACTACGGCTACGCTATACTGCGTCCCAATCAAAGTAATTGCAAGATAATAATTATTACTCACAAGGGTTCTGCTTACACGTCATCGTACTATGAAATTCACTACACGTCAGTCTAAATAGACGTCTCATTTTTTCTATTTAAGTCAACAAGGGTATGCAACAAGGGTAGCGTCGTAATAGTTGTACTGGTTGTTGCATATTCGTTCGTACGTTACTCACTAGAGGGCGCACTGAAAATCTTTTATACCCGTACACGTCATAAAGCTTTCATTATATTGATTCCATTTTATTTAGGTTTTAGTTTTCTTTTGATCTGTATTTATAAATTTTTAAGTGTATAATTTCTTTTGTAACATGTGTGTTGGTGTTTGTTGTAATATATATTTTTTCTTTATTTCTTCAACTCAAGTCGTAATTTTTTGATTCACCTACTAACATTTTTTGGTTTTCGCTTTAAAAATATAATTAGCTATCAAGAATGTCACGCATATGACATTTCGGATCTGGAATTGAATACGGGTATGGGAATAATCCATATAGCTCATCGGGCCATATAGCTCGAAGAACCGACAACCGATGGGGAAGAAAGGTTCTCGAGTGGCAGCCTCGTACCGGCAGGCGAAGTGTAGGGCGTCCCCCCACTAGATGGAGTGACGACCTGGTAAGATATGCAGGAAGTCGATGGATGCAGGTGGCTCAGGACCGTGCTTTGTGGCATTCTTTGGGGGAGGCCTATGTTCAGCAGTGGACTTGTGAAGGGCTGTAATGATGATGATGATGATGGGAATAATATTATATCGTTTTCGGTTTCGTTTACGGATATAAAATTATTTCGGATTATCCGTTAGTTTCGCATCAGATTAGATTTTTGATGCATGTAATACATATAAGCAGGTAATACAAGATATTTATTTGTGGAAACATGAGTATAAATACAAAGCATGCAGGTTGTTCAGATACATTAAAAGGATGAGTCACGTTTGGCCTTTGTGGCGTACAAATTTATAAATCAATGAAAATATTATAAATAGGTTACAATAATTGAAAATGAAGCTATTATTAACACATTATCGAATTAAATTATTATTAAACTAATTTTAACAATTTTATCAATAAATCTAAATCTAAGTAATAAATTAAAATTAAAAGTCTGGTAATATTATTCGCTATGAAGATACATTATATTTTATCTGCTTTATACAACGTCAATAAAATAATTGCTTGTTACAAAAGATTTTATTACGCTATAGTATGCTTTACCTTCTAAATATAATTTCAACTTATTTTAAATACACGGGCATTCTGCTCCTTCCAACATTTTTAAAGCTTATTGTATATTAAAGGGGTCATGCAAAAACACTTTTTCTCATCAATGCAGTTTTTGAGCTATGCCGACCGAGAATAGTATTAACTACGTCTGATAAACGTGGAAATAAGTGCCGATTAGATTTAACAAACATGGCAATTTCTAAAATGTATAGAGATGGTAATGTCAGTATTTTATATTTTATAAAATAGGGTTTGCAGCTATCAGTTGGCTCTAGTTTAAACATGGTCCTAATACATCGTTTTTGTGATATTCATAGGTTTTATCATATTAGAACCTCTGTCGCGTAAAATACAATGAACTGATTTCGTACTTAAGCTGTGCCGACTCAATAATTGTTCATACTTGAGAATTATAGAAACTCTTTCATATTTATTTGTGATGCCATGAGCGGTAAGACTATATAACCAAAACATTTGCACAGGGCTCTGACCTCCTAACAAGTCTCATTTTGACTCCTCTCCTATCCGAAATTATCCAAAACTTTTATATCGGATTCGGTTACGATTACAAATTGTTTTTTATTTCGGATATCCGTTAGGTTTGGTTACGGTTACGAAACTCCATAATCCCTGATAATTATTAATGTAAATAAAAACATATTTCAGTTTTATTTGACAATATAAATATCATTCATTTTAAGTTTAATCAATAATATAGACGATTACAGTTTTAAAGTTATAAAAATAAATTAGCAATTGGTTTATTTTTATTCAAATACTCACTAATTGAAATATTTATTTTATAGATTTTTTATTAAGCTAAAAGAGAAATTTTAATAATAACAAGAATATAATATTTTAAATGCTCTTCGATTTCATTTCGATTTCAAAGCCAGGGAGTTTCATTCGCCTGGTTTTACGATACCCGCATGTAAAAAAAAATCTTTTAAGAAAGCTTTAACAACGAGTTGTAAAATACCCTTGATTTAAGGAGCGAGTTTATGATTCACATGATTCACAACGAATTACATCGCTATGAATTTTATTTATTAGTTACACCTACGCCATACTTACATCATGTTACAACTAACCACTTAAAGGCTTAAAAATATGAAGAGGGTTATATTTGGCGGGTAGGATCATGTGGCATACCAAATTGTAAGTAACCTGAACATCCGCCAGACCAGTGATGCATGGATCTCAACGTTTTGCCCTTGGCAGGCGGCTATTTCCTCACACAGGTCTGCCTATATTTATCTGTGGTAATCTAAAATGTTGTAAACATTGGGAGTGTGTCGACGAGGGTTGCGTACCTTATACTCAGAATCACCAAACGGTATTCGCTGAAGGTCATACAGGTTTACGCACCAATCTCGGCACACCCCGATGAGGAGGTGGACGAAATGTATGAGGATATCTCTAGAGCCATGCATTCCTCCAAAACCCACTCTACGGTGTTTGAAATGAGATTGACTTCATTATGACGATCAGAGGACAATTGTTCAGTGATGTCTCAGTAATCGCGAGGGTGAAAACCGGCAGCGATCACCGAATGGTGAGAGGCACACTGAACCTAAACGTTAAGTTGGAGAGGTCACGTCTAATGAAGTCAACGCTCCGTCCCCCTCATGCTCTAATCCAAAGTCCCGAAACCTTTCAGCTCGAGCTACGACACCATTTTCAGTGCCTAGAAGATTGTAATGCAGTGGACGATATAAATGACAAGCTCGTGGAAACTGTCCATGCGGTCGTAGTTAAGTTCTGCAAGACCCGCCGCAGAAGAACACAAAAACTCTCCGATCACACTCTTAATCTCATGGCTGTTAAACGGGATATGAAACTGCAGTCTTCAGTAGATTTGATAGCATACAGGCAACTGAACAGACAGATCTCCAAATGCATGCGGCGGGACTTACGTAACTTTAATACTGCTCATATTGAAGAAGCGATCGAGCGGAACCAGGGCTCCAAAGTCTTTGCTAGAGATCTGTCTGCCAGAAAGAGCCAACTGTCGAAGCTGAAGACCGAGTGTGGCAGCGTCATTTCCGGGACACCTGAGATTTTGAGTGAGATTGAGAGGTTCTATGGGCAGCTGTACACATCATCGTTGGAGCCACACGCAAGTGTGAGTAACGATCCAAAAGCGAGTCTTATCCGACATTATTTTGATGATATCCCGCACGTCAGTCTGAGCGAGATTAGAATGGCACCTTAAAAACGGCAAGGCCTCAGGCGAGGATGGAATTACAGCGGAGCTTCTGAAACAGGTGGAATACCGGTACTTGAAGTCCTTCAGAAGCTCTTTAATTCCGTCCTCCATTGTGGTATTACACCGAAGGCGTGGAGCAGAAGTGCGGTGGTCTTGTTCTTCAAGAAAGGCGACAACGCTGTCTTGAAGAACTACAGACCGATT